AATAGAATAAATATTTCTTTGATTTTTTATCTCAGTACCTATTTTCCTATCGGACATAGGACTAGACTGATTAATATCATCAAATAGTACCTATATCAAATGTCGTGCAGACCTTACCCATACCACACTAAATAAATAAATAAATGCTACATTAATACTTAAGTACAATATTGAAAACAATGGTTAAATAAAAGTCAGAACGGAATAAAAGCTGTAGTAGACTCGCAGAAGTGTCGTAATTTCTATTTACCGTTTAAAACTAGGTAATTGAAGAACTGTGTAACTGTAGAATTAACGAAATGTTTAAGTGACTGAAACAAAGTTTCTTTAAAATTGTAATATTATTGTAATGGCAATACACGATACTAATATCATTATTTAAAATTAATTCTAAGTCACCTCTCTTATCTTAGCAATTCAACCTGGCTTTATGTAGGTAATGTTTGAATTTATGCAAACAAACTTACGGAAACAGAACATTAAAAAGAAAAACATATTTTTAATTTAATTTAATCAAAATCACGGAAGAAACCATAACACTCTAGAAAAAAGTAATAAAGATGAAAATAAAAGCCCCTAAAAGCCCACAAATTAACTTTATGGCCTTATTATTTTATGACAAGGATGTTTGACATTTAATTTAATCAGTGTTGCCAGCCTGCATACGAAATACTACTTTAACGCCATCTATATTCAGGGCGCGTACAATCCAATACTGAATGCGATTTTCACTAGTTTCGAGTGAAATTCACTTTCTGCGCCATTTATCCGGAATTCGTCCTGTTTAACGGATTCTGACCGAAAAAGCGTTTCCAGCCAAAATGGAGGTCGTTATTTTTTAGGGATCTCGGAAAAGTGGAAGAGTGGCTGGGGATTTTAGGAATATTGATGCGTGTTATTACGTAGCTTATAGTTTCAGCTTAAGTCACATTATCTTACTTAGATTGTCAATGTAATTTTAATCTTAAATTGTTCAAAGCGTCAAAATTTGCAAGAAATCCTTCACATAAAGAAAAAAATTAATCGTGAATACAGAGTGCTTTACCACTGATAAATTAACATTCCAACAAAAATACTTCGCAATGCCGCCGCAGAATATTCTCTCCCAGATCACGAAGCAACCATAATAATGAATATTAATTTTCACATTCCATATTTAAAAATTGTTACCAGAGCAAAAATAATCCAAAAATTGCCACCCTCCATGCCCTTAATTGTACGGTATCTTTTTTTTTACTGGCAGGAGATCGTTGACCTCAATAAAAAAGTCGTTAAGAGTATCGCCTGAATCTTTTAAAGTATATTCTGTGAGAACTTGCAACTTGTATGAAAAGAAATACCTTTTCGTTGTACAAAACTGTTTCAGTTCTAGTTTTCATTCAGTTTTGTATATTTAGTAAAAAGCAAATTAGAGTAAAAAAACAAACACTTCCTTAAGCCAATTTTTACCAACCTCTCTTAAATTTTAAGGAACACCTAAACTAAGATAGGTGACATTTATCGGCATTTTGTTTTTCACCAACTTATGGGAGGCACCTAACAGTACAGATATAAGTTTAGTTTCAGTACTCCTTTAGGCTAAGTAACTCTTAGTTAAGAGATGGTTTTGGGGTGGTTGGTGAAAACGCCCAACAGCCATTAGACATAACATTTTAAACTTTAACCTCATATGCAAAAGGTTTACTATATTCCTTCTAAAGCATTCAAATTACACTACAACTCAATAGCACCATATTGGTCGCTGGACATCCACTCATTCGATTCCTATCTAGTTCTTTTCATCCCACACAAGTTGGGGTTAACTGGCAGGAATGTAGTCTTTACTGATGGGCTAACGACCTGAAACTACTTCAGTTCAATTGTCGTCTTTTAAAGTGTAATTTGTTTGATTTGTAACTTGGAGTGTTGCTAAGTATAATGCAGCTTATTTTGGACTTGGGTGGTCTTATGTTAAAACATAGTTTAAGAAACCATGTCTTTTCACAAACACTATGTAACATAACATCACTCTAGATTATCGATATTATTATTATTCATACAATTCCACACAAACATCTTTTCATGAGGATCCAATGTGCCAAATCAATAAACCTGTTCAAAATCCAAAATTACTATGTCTTAGTTAATCATGTATTTCGACATTATTTGTCGAGGATTCGACTCGTTCCGCGACCCGCGTCGCCGCGACCGTTATTTATTTATTTACATAAAAAGGATCTCCGTAATATACACAATGATAATGTAAAAATATCTTGTAATATAATTACATTTAGTTCTAAACAAAAGCCAGTCTACAGGTCCCTTACCCAAAATGAAAACCGCTTGTCATAGATTTTGAAACTAATGATGTCTTAGAAAGTCCTTTAGCTGGTAACAAAACAAAATTCATAGTTACTACTAAGTAAAGGGGTGTTTGCTAACTTCTAAAACTTATTAAGACCACAACGGACAAGTTCCGTATATTGTGACCAAATTAGAACAGAACGGCTAGTTTCGATATTGTTTAACCAAGTGTATGATCTGGAAATAGCAGGCGTACCTGGAAACCATTCATGGGTATTTCAGATCCCGCCTAGACATTGTTTGGTAAGCGGCGGATATTTTTAACTCAGAACCAAGACAAAGTTTCTTAAACTGTATGCTATTAATAGAAAAAATATGAAATATGATAAAACATCTAAAAACTGAAACCACAAATCTTATACTATTATAGAGGTATAAAGCGCAAGCGTTTGTTTTTTTGTTTGAACGCGCTAATCTCCGTAACTACGAGTCTGATTTGAATAATTCTTTTTGTGTTGGATAGCGAATTTATCGAGGATGGCTATAGGCTATAAAACATCACGCTACGACCAATAGGACCTGAGCAGAGCGTGTGAAACCGCGCGGAAGTAGCTAGTCCATAATATAGCACTTATAAGTAAAAAATATCTATTTGGTTCTTGCTTAACATATAGGTAGTAACAAAATTAAAAATAACAATGAAGTATTACCCTCTAAAGAGATAAGAGATATTTCTCGACAGAAACACGATAGACAACGTACTATACTTATCTTCCCTTACATATGTTCTATCTCTGAAATAACTTATCGCAGTTTGGAGATCGAAGTGATAACCCTAGGGTTGGATGGAAATGTATAGTTGAACCCTAAGACTATCGACCCTAAGTATTTATTGTACAGTATTAGTAATGACACTTTCGAAGCTCGAAGGACTAAGATTAAGAACATAATAATTCATTATTTAAGGACGTCTTTCCCATCCTTGACTAAGGTACAGTCACCTAATAAGGCTTTGGCGAACGTACATTAGTTTAAATTCTATTTCGTTGCCAGTTTTATTATAAAGCTGTCAATATTATTATCACCAAGTAAATGTTCACCATCTTTCTCAACACAACCTCATAAATACAAGGAATAACAAAGTCCCTGGCTTTAAACGTCAATACGTAACGAAGTTAACTGTCACTTCGAGCAAGTATTGGGTAACTGCCAAACGTTCATCACGATTTGATTCGATAAAAGACTGGGGCAACCAATCGATTTCTGATTCAACAGCAGTTTTATCAAGGGTTTTAAATGCTTCAATTGGTTTAACTTACATGATTGGGTCGATGTATCTATGAATTTGTTCATCGTCATATTAATAACGTCATGCATGCATTCCTTTAGCTTCACTGGCTCTTTGATCTGCAGTTTCAACATTATAATTTTCAGTGACAACTTTTTCGTTTTCAAAGCAACCAGTTGCAAATCTTCTTACTAAAATCTCCCTAGTCTTGCTTAGTATGCAAGCTCAACGCTCACACGTTACTGTGTAAGACAACACACCATCACCATAATGTTAGTCTAATCCTTTATTATCGCTTAAATCACGCCCAACATGTTTATTGCCCACCAATGCTTTTACCAGATACTTCAAAGGCTCTGAGGTGTACCTACCTTCGTTTACCATGCATGTATGTATGTACTTATGTCGGCATTCCAAGTCTAAATCAGTACCGTCTGTGGCCGTAACAAGCTATGCAAAAAGGACAGAAGTGTCAGCTCACGCCGACTGTGTGTCCGTGTGACTTACCTTTTAGGATTTAACACCGCTAATGCGTACATTTATCTCCTTGTCACACAATTTATGTCGATAAATAATTCATCGGGCAATTTATTTAAACAAATTTATTGCAGCAGTTTACTATTTGTGAAGCTTAATGTCTCCACAACTCCAACTGTCACGTGTCATCAATAAATTACTTTAGTTTTCTTAGTTCAGAAATCATCACCATATCTTCCACAAATCTCAAAATCCTTAAGGATTATTACATTTCTGTGTAATCCAAGGATCTCTAGCCAACTAAATGCTAAGAATAACCGAGTGGATACGTCGACGTCTCGCTGAAGCATAACGAATTATGATATTTATGAGCTGTCCTGAAAGTAGAAGCTGGTCCTTAAAGACAGGATGGAGACGAGACAGAATTAATTATTATTGCACTGAACAAGCTTTCATGATTTGATTGATGATGGTCATATGAACGTTATTGCCAATTTTTGGAGTGCAGTGCACTGAACATATCAAAAGATCAAAAATACGGCCTAAATGTACAGAAATAACTGTCTCCAATTTAAATTAAGATTATAAATCACGTCAATAACCATTAAATACAGTTTTGGAAAAATGCAACTCACAATAATTTAAAATTGTATCAAAATAAATTCTGAAATTAGCATCGGTCCTTGACCGCTCTTTCATTAATATGCATAACATGACTTATCGCTGCAATATTTCGTCTGGGATCGAACTGCTTACAAGATGACATTGAATTTAAAACTGAACACGAGCTTTTAAACACTCATTAACATTTACCCAACAGACACAAAAACCAATTAGAAAATAACAAATAAAACCCACCAAAGATAAATAAGTGACAATGGACAAGAAATAAGTACATAAACATAAGTTATTTATAGTGAAGTGTTTAATATAAGTGTTGTTAATAAAAACAATGAAGATGCATCTACAAACGGACCTGTCGTGTGAGATCTCATACAAGAGCTGTGAGGAGAAGGTGCAGATCTCACAGGAGGCTGAGATGCTGTACTATGAACTCATCAGGGCTTTAGAAGAAGAGGAAACGGTGAGAATAATGTAGATACAGATTTTTTAATTAAAGATTCTAAAACTTTATAGCACGTAAAGAAAGAAACATTTACTAGGTAATATCAAAAGTAAATTGCTTATTTAGCAAGCTAACAAAAACGTAGCAACATCAGGGAGTATATTAGACTCAAGGTGAAATTAAATTAAAAATTGACTGATGAGTTTTTTTTATCAATCTGAAGCTAATGTATCCTAAATCTTTCTCATAAATCTCTATAAGATCTTATGTGTTGATAAATTTAATGCCACCACATTATTTATACCGAAACCGTTAAGTATGGAGTTGGTCCTTTTTCGGTTTTTCGTCCATAAGAGGATTAATATCTTGCAGAATATCTCCGAGAGATTTATGAGAAACTTGTTGATAATTGGGTTGTTCGATAGAAGATTAATAAGCAAGTTTGTCGCTGATCTGACAGTGACCAGGATTTTTGTGATCAATACTTTTCGCTGAGATAGTAATGAAGTAAAATTTTACACCAACATTTTTTATGCTTTCGCTGTTTTGATAAGTATTAATCTAAATGAACACACGTTACAATTTTATGATTGAACTCAGTAACAAGGTAAGTACCTATTGGAGAGACCATTTATTCATTCCAAGAGCTCAGTGGACGGAAACGTGTTGATGGAGATAATGATTTGAATATTAATCATTGGCTGTCGTCCACCAGATATTTCAACTAAAGATATCCCTACATTACCTTCCCCGATGATATTGTTTCTTTGCCAGAGTATTTTCTGAAGGGTATTATAACCTGGGTGTCTTCAAGGCCCGAGTAATAGGTTGCTAATGGGACGACGTGCTCCATCGTAGACCGCATCATCGCTTACCACCAGGCGAGATAGTGGTCAAACGTCGGCCCATCAAATATATAAAAAAAATGTCCAATTTACGTATCACACTTTATCTCTATTCTTTTCCTAGCCTTAAATATTTTACAGCTGACACATCAAGTTTACTAAACAATCTTGCGACCATGATTCACAAGAGTTTCATGTGAGCTATGACCACATCACTCCTCTAATCTATATGTTGACAACCACAATATTATTAGTGTGATATTCATCAATTCGGTTCATTCAATCCTAATTATATTGCTTGGGATTAGGTTTAGGTAATAATTATGATTATAATATGTTATATGATTAATTTATTTGCTGTTGTTTGCAGCCAAGTTAGCTGTGTTATATTCTGTTATTTATTTAGTTTAAAGCTGTATCTATTATTTTTTCAAACGAATAGGCCTCTCACGTTTTTAATAGGTTCTATTTACGGAGTTTAGTGAAAGGGGCTCTTTTTTACTATTTACGTCTGATCTAAATCATTAAAACAATTGCATTTTTTAAATTTTGCTACGATTATGATTAGTCGTAATGTCTAAAATAGCTTGACTAGCTTCATCTGTGTCGTACGTTTACGAGTGCCATACGCCCTCGTATAAAACTTTACTATTCGTCATAGAATTCAATTAACAGCAATAAAATGAACAGTTATATCCTCTTATGGTCATTGAATCCTTAACCCACCTATCGCAGGTAACACTGACAAACACATGGTCATTGGATCACACATGTATGTTCGTATGGTCACTCTATAGAGCGTCATCTCGCGAATTTCGTTCTGCTAGTGTATAGAGGTCATTCACACCAAAATTATGCATACATAACAAGATCTGTCTGATGGTGTAGTCACTGTACAGTTTGTTATAGAAGGTTAACTAGTAAATGTTGAGATTTGCAGTAGAATTTTATTTCTATGCACGTTACCACTGCAACTGCCGAACATGAAATGTCTCTCAAGTTTGAATCCTGACTTGTATTACAAAGAATTTATTGACTAGCTTATCAGCCGTAACTGCCCCAATGCAGAGCAAAGGCTTTTAATAAATAATAAAGGAAATTCTTTTGTGTAGTGTACAGTTTTCTGCGGTTAATGTTTTAAAAAAAACATGGGATAGGTTTTTTTTATTTAGAATTGTTGATAATAATTACCACAAAGTCTATTATTTTGTCCGATATAATCAAAGTCAATGCATTTATTTCAATCAACCCTTAATTAGGCACTTTTGAAACAAAAATTGAATTGTCCGTCCGTCTGTCAGTCTATGAAGCTAGGCGCTCGTTCCAAAGTGTAGTTTCGAATGGAGAAGAACGAGAAAGAAACTCCAACGTTTCTCTTTTAAAAAACATATTATAAAGTATTACAATAGACTCGTATACCTTCTACTAAAGCGAAATGGTACTTCTGTAGTTTATTTTATGCGCTGTGTAATGGTGTTCAACCGTATATTTATTTAGTTTTATCTCAATTTAATGTTTGCTAAGCTTAGTCTGGACTTCGATTTCTTGTCTAAATATTATCGATTTACGTATTTGCTGCGTGTTGGTAGGCAGTATTTGATGTCGATGTATGCTTGCTATTGTAAATATAGTTGAAATGGTTTTTTTTAACTTACCGTACTCTTTATTATGAAACACAAGCGTAATTATTTATTATAATGTAAAATTGGTTAATGGACATATTCTTTCGTACATTTTCTAAGCAGATTTCCTAAATGACTCAAAAGAAATTACTTTATTTTTGAAAATTTTGTCCAGTGGATTGACAGTGAGATAAAATACTTTGACAGCGCTGTTACAGTTGATAATGAGCATTTTGTCAGTAATCCTATAAGTTGATTAGCTTTATAATTATTATAAGTTTGGGAAAAATATCAAACTTCCCTTTTTGGAGTTTCATTGACATTTTGCGATAAAAGTATTATTATAGGGGTTTTTTATCTAAAATTCTGATTAAATGAATTATCTTTTTGAAATTTTCGACATAACACTGACTGCTTCTGTTTACGAGATTTCAATAACGAAATAAATATTTCATTTATATTTTATAGCTACACATAAACCCTTTCTTTTCGTTTCGAACATATCATGAGATTATGTAAAATAAAAAAAATTAAAAATGTTCAGCTTCACTTTCGACAAAAGTACTAAAATTGAAAACATGATTTTTAAGAAGAAATCGTTAACAGTTACCGTTGATATTTATCGTTATTGTTAATTATCGTTTTTAATAAAGATATTATTACGAAAGGTTTGTTAATTAAGTTCCAACGGACTTTAAGTGAGAATATAAGATTGTATCCGTGTCTCCTGACATAACTACGTAACTACTTAATGGTTTCTTGCAAAAAGCATTTCGCAACACTACACAGCAGGTATAAAATGATTTAATTAATAAAGACAAAATTCTACTGTATTGCAAAAATCTCTAAAATAGTGAATTTTTTGGTTTACCATTATCATTAGCCTGTTTTCATCAACTGCTGGACATAGGCCTCTCTTCACATTCAGCCACTATCTTAAATATCGTTGCTAGGACGTTAACATATCGCGGAGAACCTAACGGGTTACCGGGGCTCCGGCTCGACGTGCAGGAGAAGGAACGGGGTGGTTTTTAGTCAGTAAGAGTCTGACACTCCCTCCCGCCTCACTCAGGCGGGAGCAGTCACTCGATGATTTTCTCCCCTTAAAAAAAAGACCGTTAACATTGTTTGTCTATGGGAGCAAACCTATTTTTAAACTCTACCCAATTCAGGCTCAATATTCAAAATAAAAATATGTACGGTTCGAAAATAACCATCATTTAAAAATAAACTCGTTCCATAATATCACTTCCAATTTTGAATTTAAAAAAATGTATATCAACCAGCTATACATACACGACGTCAGATATTTTAATAACGAATTTGGAACAGTTCACAGCTGGACTGTGATTGGTTGAAATCTCAGTCAGACACAAAAGGCACGCGATGCACGCGATGTATGTCTCTGATGCACGATCTGGGGATTTTACTTTTTTAATCGCAGTCTCGCGTGTGGATTTGGAAAGGGCAGTGGGTTTATGTTTCGAAATTAAATGGTGAGATTGAAGGAAGGATAAACGGTTAAAAGAATCTCTGAGAGAGGTAAAGATGTATTATCAATCACCAAGTTTACGTTGGATATTTAAACTGTATGGAGCGAAGGTGTCTACAACTGTACACCAATAGGGTAGACGACTAATTTTTATTTTAATGTCCGCCTGATAGATTATTTAAAAACATTAGACACGTATTTTTTATTTTCTCACAGAAACGAATAGTTTCGAAGATATATTGATTTGAGATGTCGCGTGACGTCACTTCTCAGTACATTTTATACTAAGAAATGACGTTTTAACCCCCACTCCTAAACTTTGATTCGTTTTATCTAAGTATTGTTTTATTATACGACAAAATAAAAAAATACGTGTCTAATATTTTTTCATTACCTAACTTACGGACTAATTATATTTTTAATTTTCATACCCTGTCATCATCCCCATTCGCAAGTCTTAAATTCTGTGCATAGCACCGTCATGGGATTTTTTTTTCTTTTTGTTTTACTAGTGAACCCAACTCCTTCTTTGAACAGTGTTTTATTTAGTGTCTTATTCCACTCCTATTGTGTAGTTCGCTCAGATACTCCATTATGTCAAATAATACGATTAAAATATCATTTGCATCTTAGCTATTTCCAAAATATTAGTCATATAACTTTAATCAATTAAATCAGTCCTTAATTAATAAAAAACTAAAAAATTATAAGAGAGATGCAGCTGACGATGACGAGTTGACCGCAAGTCCACTTAATTAGTTCAACTGATGTATTTACAACCCATACAACTCAAATACTACTCACAACTTGTACAGTTGCATTATTGATATTAATGTCCTGATGCAACTCTCATAAAGTAGGCAATGCTCGATTCAACTTGAGTTTATTTCTTGCAACATAGTTAAATGTTGATTAGATTTACTGTGGAACCTTTCATTTCATTCATTATCTGTATAATTAGTTTATTTATAGTTGAGGTAACTGATTATAGACATTAAAGTTAAAGTATTTATTTCAATTAATTCTTGATTAGGCACTTTTGAAACGTCAAATTGAATAGGGTAGATTCCTAATTTTTATTTTAATGTCCGTCTGGTAGATTATTTTAAATCATTAGACACGTATTTTTTGTTTACTTAAAGAAACGAATACTTTCGACGATATATTGATTTGAAATGTAGCGTGACGTCACTTCTATGTACATTTTATACGTAGAAATGACGGTTTAGCCCTCACTCCGAAACTTTGATTCGTTTTATGATAAAATAAAAATATACGTGTCTAATATTTTTTCATGACCTTTACATTACGGACTAATTATATTATTTAATTTTCATATCCTGTCATCATCCCAATTGTTAGTAAAGTGTTAGTAGTTTCAAAAGGAGAAGCACGAGCAAGAACATCGTTACTCTTTAGGCAAATAAATGGTAAAAATTATGGTTTTAGTACACGAGTCAAAATGTTTGACAATATTTTATAAAGAAACTACCTAGATGCGTCTACGCTACGTACCTCCTACATGTAAAAGCATAAACAAAAAACTATTTTCAAGTGAACATAACAAAGAATATATTTCTTCAACAAGATTTAAGATTCATACCGCACATGATACATCATACACCGTCATACAATACAACAATCTGCGGATGACATCACATCTGTGACAATACGAAAATAAGTGAAATGTCAAAACATTCCCGGACCGGCTGACTCATGCGCACGCGACGATCCTAACGCATTGTTCTCAGATTCGAAATTCAAATTTGACGTTTCCTGCGCGTACGTCGACACTGACAAATAGAGACGCGTCTTCTTTTTTAAAGTTTTTTTTATGATGACAGATGAAATATGTATTCGTTTGAAATAAGGTTGAAATGCTATTCGTTTTTTTTTTGTTTAAAAATAGATTACGTTACTTAAACCTTCTAATTAGAGGTAATGATTAATTAACGGTTTTCTGAACTGTTATTTATTAACTGTTCCGTACTCCCATTAATAAAGTTACTGTTACGTTTTACATTAGGTAAGTAAACATGTTGTGACGA